TTTTTATGGTGTAGGGGTAATAGTATGTGAAAATATGTTAGAGGAATATAGGAGATGGTTCCTGCTGTGAGGATTAGGAAGTTTCACAGAGGAGGTCGAATTTGGGCACCTGGTGGTAGAACAGCCTGAGCCAAGGCAGAGAGTTGGGTAAGTGTCAGTGAGGGGTGTGATAGCCAAGAGGAGGGGACAGCAAACTCAAAACAGACCGATTTAATAAACGTTTGATCATATACTGAGGGCTAGTGTACACTTAATCCACCTTATCCTGAGTGGGTGGTTCTCTACTGTGAGTGCAACTCCAGAACTGAATTCTTAATTGGTTTGGGGATGGGCCCAGGCTTTTTCCCTTTAAAGTCTCCATGTGATTTTTAATGTGCAGCCTATTCTATTAGGGAAGTATACCACTGTCCCCATTTTTTAGACGAGGGGCTAACTTTCCCGACTTCCAGGGTCATACAACTAAGTGGTTAGGTTCCAGGTCTAATTTGAGTTGGTTTTCTTAACCAGAGGAGCTAGGAAAGGTTAGTATCAAACTTAATGAAAACAAAAGTGGTGTGCTGAGAGCAGTTTCAGGAGTTCTGTGGGATTCGAGACCATCTTACGAGGGCTAAGTTTGCAGCCCTAGTGGAGGGGTCAAGAAATGAAGACAGGGTTTGGAACAACTTGGCAAGAGTATATATACATAGGCAAAGCCACTACTGAGTCAGGCCGCTAGGCTTCCCAGCTAGGGAGGATACGTGCGCCGAGCCTTTCACCAAAGAACCTCGACAGTGGAGGCGTAGAACGCGGAATCCGGGAGCGCACGATGAGGGAACTCGGGAAGGCTACGTCACTTGCCGAAGATTGCTCTAGTCAGGTACTGCTGGTCCACTCTCATCAGTACTCTGGAGAGCCTGGTTAGTTTGAATCTTAAAAATGCAGCCCAGAGAACCGAACCTCACCAACCTTGTCCAACTGCCCTCTACCCACCCTGTCCACAGTGGGTGGCGCCACTTTCGTGCCGCACTGACCTGGTGTCACGACTGAGGCTCGTTTCCGCAGCCTCCTGCCACCCCACCCCCTGCAGCCGTGACTCCGACTGCGGCGGCCCCCTACAGTAGTCCAGTGAGTCCTAGCGGTCTCCCCGCCGCCGAGGCACCATCCTGGCGCGGCAACCTGACTTGCCGCCCAGAGTCCTGCGGGACGGCGCCCGGTGACTGCCCGGAAGGCATCAGCTCCGGGCGCCTAGCAATGGGCGCGCATCGGGCGGGCGGGGTGGCGGCCGCAGCAGCCTCTCGCCGGGCGGGGCGGGCAGGGGTGCGCCGCGCTCCCGAGCGTCGTCAGGCTGCGGGCCGCCGAGCATGATCGTCCCGAGAGCGGCGCCGGAGCGAGCGCGCGGCCGCCCGCCCCGCCGCCGCAGTCAGCCCAGCGGCTCTGCAGGTCTGGGCCGGGGCTTCGGCTCAGCTCCGGGCCGCCATTGGCTCCCGCGCTGCCCGGTGCCTCCGCCCCTAGACCTGGGCGCCGCCGCCGCGGCCAGGCCGGAGAAGAAGCCCCTCCCCGCCACGGCGGAGCTGCGGGAACAGTGAGTGCGACCGGTCCCGGGGAACCCCGGCCAGGGGCGTGCCGGGGGTGGAGAGGACGGGGGGGGGTGGCCGGGTCAGGCCTGAAAGGGAGGTGGGTCCCTGAGGTCAGCTGGCTCGGCCCCCTCCCAAGAAGGGCATCTATTCTAGTGACGCACACGGGTCGCCCCAAGGATCCTCGTGATGCTCTTGGAGGGCGGCTGGCGGGGAGGCCGGGGCTGAGGACCTGACGGGGAGGCTGCGGGCGGCTCGGGTGCAGGAGTATATAGACTTAAGAGGTGAAAGCCCTCTTTAGTTTCTAGTCCTTTCTTTACTTCTTACAGTTAATTTAGTATTTATTCCCTTTTCATTTGTTTTTGGTCATCAGTGGAATATATGGATTCTTTTGAGAAATTGCTTTTTTTACTTAAGATGTGGAGAATACCTTTCACAGCAGTTTACTTAGGTCTTCATTGAATATTTCGTAGATGTGTCACATAGATGTATGATTATATGGTATAGATGTATCATAATTTATGTAACCATTTCTCCTGAAGATCGGTTCCAATTTTTCCTTATTACAAACAATGCAACAGTGAACATTCTTACACATGGGAACAGTTCTATAAAGTGAATTCCTTGAAGCAGAATTGCTGGGTCATATGTATGTACGTTAAAAAATTTTGGTGGGATCTTGCCTTCCAAAAAGTCTTTACTGATTAACATGTCCATCAACAGGCTGTGGTGAAAAAAACCTGTGTTTGTTATCGTCTAAAAAACAAATCAATATCTCCCACTAATTGAGTGTTTATTACATGCCCAGCACTGTGCTGAACATTTTGCATGCATTTTACTTTTATTTTTCTTTTATAAATTTATTTATTTTATTTATTTTTGACTGTGTTGTGTCTTTGTTGCTGCGCACAGGCTTTCTTTAGTTGCCGCGAGCGGGGGCTACTCTTCGTTGTGGTGTGCGGGCTTCTCATGATGGTGGCTTCTCTTGTTGTGGAGCACAGGCTCTAGGTGCATGGGCTTCAGTAGTTGTGGCTCCCCGGCTCGGTAGTTGTGGCTCGCGGGCTCTAGAGCGCAGGCTCAGTAGTTGTGGTGCACGGACTTAGTTGCTCCGCGGCATGTGGGATCTTCCTGGACCAGGGCTCGAACCTGTGTCCCCTGCATTGGCAGGCGGATTCTTAACCATTGCACCACCAGGGAAGCCCCTGCATGCATTTTATTTATTTATTTTATTTTTTTTAACTTCAAAAGTAGCATTTTTAATTTTTGTGGCCACAAAATCCTGCATGCATTTTACAATTTAATCCTCACTAACCCTATGAGAGTCAGAGGCACTATTATTTTCTTCATGACCCCATGGTTATGCAGCTACTGAAGTGCAGAGCCAAGATTAGAATCCTGGTTCATTTAATTGCAATGCTTATGTTCTTTGTCGTATCTGAATTCCTGGTCAGTAATTGACTGGGCATTGTGTTTCATTGGGTTGTTTGAGGGTTAAATGAGATCACGCGTTTGGTGTTACGGTATTATTAATATGTAATTCCTTTCTCTACTAACTCCTGTAGAATTGGACATGGTCCGGTTCTTCCTACGATTCTGGTTCCTCTGGATCATTTGCCTTTCCAGTCACTTTTCTGCCTTTTCTTTATCTTCCTGGCTTGCATATATTTTAAGGGAATCTGGTTTTCTTCTCCCTGGAAAATCTCCTTTGCCAACTTTATCCAATCTCTGGCCTTAATTCTCACCAGTAAATCGATAACTCTTAAAAGCTTCATCTCCCAACCAAACCTATAGTCTTTAATATTCCTATAGCTTAGATCCAGGTTATATATCTCCACCTGAATGTCCTAGACTAATTTTATCTAAAACTGAGCTGCTTGTTGCCCTCCGCCCCCAGACTCGCACTTTCTCTGAATTTAATTCATGGTTCCATAATTCTTTTGGTCACCCTGGTTCACAGACTCAGTCATCTTTGACTCATTTTTTCCTTTCCTGAACCTCCAATATTCAATCGTCAGTGTTGTCAAATTCTCTCTACTACTCTAATTTAAGCACTCTGAACTATTATATGTAGTCTCTTAACCTGGCTCCAGTCTCTGCCATCTTAATCTTCCTAAAGCATGACTGTGAATATGCCACACCTCTGTTCTAAAACCCTCATGCCTTTTCATTGCTAAAACAGAAAGTACAAGCCACTTTGGCCAGCGCCTCAGTGCTGAACCCCTCCTCCACTCTCCAGGGCAGCTTTCACATCTTTACCTTTTCCAGCAGGGCCTCTACCCACATTTCTATCTAAATGTCATTTTCTAGTTTCTTCCAAGTCTTTTTTGAATCCCCTTGTGAAAGTTATACCTCCCTCCTTTGAACTCCTCAGGTGTGAGATGCTGTATATCTGTCCATCCAGCTCCCCTAAGGCTGTAATGTGACACTTTGCCTTATACTATAGTTGTATGAGTGGCTGCAGTTTTTCCTTTTGGACTGGAAAATCTGTGAAGGCAGAATCTCTAGTTCGCCTTTGTATTTGTCATGCACATGGCACATAGACTTGCAGATAGTATGTGCTTAGTGAATATATTTGAGTAAGTGAGCTAATATATTCACCCTTGGGAATAAAAAATTGCATGTATTAGGGTATTGATAGCTATAACAACAAACAGTCCCCAACATTTTAGCGATTTAGGATACAGAACTTTAGTTCTTGCTCATATAACAGTTCCAAGGCAGGTGTTCCTGGTCAGCAGGCAGCTTTCTTCCCATTGGTAGTAGGACCCAGGCTCTGCCATTCATTAGCTTCACTATCGGCTAACTGCAGCCAGCAGGATGGGAAGGAGGAAGTATGGAGAAAGCAGGCCTGGGGGAATTCCCTGGCGGTCCAGTGGTTAGCATACTGACTCTCACTGTCGTAGGGCCTGGGTTCAGGCCCTGGTCGGGGAACTAAAATCCCACAAGCTGCATGACCTCAAAAAAAGAAAAAAAAAAAGCAGACCTGCTTCTGAAGTTTCTTGCACAAAGTGTCACACGTTGCGTTCACTCCCATTCCAACCACAAGGAGGTAACCACTTTCTAGGAACAACTGTATTCTCCGGAGGAACCAGAATTTTGGGCATCCAGTCTTCTCTGCCACAGTCCATTTCTATTTATCAAAACCCGTGGGACTTGGCTTGAACAACCCTTTCTGCTCATAAACAACAGCAAAACTGTCCTTCCCCAGTCTGGTTAGGTCAGCAAAGGCCCTGTTGTCCCACAAAATCTAAACAGAGATTTATCATCAATATGTATCATAGTGAAGTGTAATTGTTTGGTTACTTTGTTCGCCCAGTAGACTGTATGCTTTTGCATCACAATCATTTTTGCATTTCACCTCCTAGCACAATGACTGGCATTGCAAATATATAAATAATTAGCTTTCTCAATGAATCTACAACTTGCCTCTCTTTATGTTCACTTGATGATTATTTTGGTTTAATCAAAGCTAAAAATAAAGATAATCTTACCATCTGCTCTTTGATGTTGGGCTATTTTCAGCCTTTTTGCTTTTCTATTATAAAAAATGTAGGCTTTGACATCCTTGAAGGTAAATATTTGGATGTATCATTGATTGTTCCTTTAGGATAAACTCCTGGAAGTGAAATTGCTGAGTCAAAAGTATATAAAATTATAAGGACATATGTATTGCTAGATTGCCCTCTGGAAATATACTAATACTTTCACTGAAACCTTATGAGAGTAGCTGTTCCCTTGAACACCATCTTACACTGTCTAGTTGTAGAGAAAAAAATTTTACCATTTTCAGGGCAAAAGTTGTAGCTCATTGTATTATTTTGCTTTTTTTTGAGTATTAGTGAGGGCAAACTTTTATTGACCATTTTTTTCTGTAATGAGTTATCTGTTCTTTAATAAACACACTATCTTGGGGTCCACTTTCCTATTGATTTTTAAGTATCTTTACATACAAGAGAAATTAAATTCTTCAGTTCTTTATGTCATCGTTTGAAAAGCTATTCTGGGAACTTCTGGTCAGTGTGGCAGAGGAAGGCGACATGAAGAAACTCCATACTGCTTCCATATATTTCAAATGTGGGGTAAAGTATATTAAGATAATTTATGGCCATGTGGCTGAGCTAGGAACCAAGAGGAGGAAACCCCCAGGTGGCAGAAATGAGGGAATGCTCACACAGGAAGGCAGCGTTGAGCATCTGCTGAGAGCTGGGAGTCACAAAGGAGTACTGTTCCAGTTACCATGGATGCATCACAAACTTCTCCAAAACTTAGTGGTGCAAAACAACCCTTTATTGTGCTCATGGATTCTGTGGGACAGTGCAGGAATTTGGACAGTGAACGGCAGGGACAGCCTGGCTCTGTTTCACCATGTCTGGGGCCTCAGATGGAAGATTTGAAGGCTCGGGGCTGGAATCACCTGCAGGCTCACTCACTCCTATGTCTGGTACCTGATCCTGGCTGTGGACTGAGGCCTTAGCTGTGGATGTCAGACGGAACCTTTCTACGGTGGCCCCTTCCTATCACTTAGCTTCCTCACAAAATGGTGGCCGGGTTTCAAAGGTGAGTGTCCTGAGACAGCTAGCTAGTGGAAATCGTATCATCTTTTATGACCCAGCCTTGAACATCACAGAGTCAATTCTACTGCATTTTATTGACTAGGGAAGTTAGTTTCAGAGAAGGGAACACAGACCTCACCTCTTGATGGAGGAGTGTCAATGTCACATTGAAGGAAGAACTTGCAGAGATGATATGTATTAGTGCATCCTTCTTTGGAAAATACAACCTGCCACAAGTACCTTGACACAGAGATGATAACTAGAAAAATACCCCTCACTGGCCTGGGGAGGCTGTAAGGAAGCTTGCCATCCACTTGAACTATGGTAGGAAAGAGTCAGCTGCTAGACATTAGAGCATCATACCCTGCACCAGCTCAAGTCTGAGGTCTGAATTCACTTTACTATATGACTCAGGGACCACAGTCTAAGAAATTGGCATATTAACTGGCCTGACA